GTGATATTGAGCATTTTTTCATATACTTGTTGGCCATTTTATGTTTTTTTTCTTTTTTTGTTGTTATATTAGAATTTATTTTTTTGAAGTTGACCAGAGAAAGCGAGAGAGAAAAGGAGAAAGCAAGCTGCCAGGTCCCAGACTCGAACCACGGTCAGCCTTGCAGGAGTCCAGCTGCCTTAATCACCACGCCACCTGCTGGCCCCCCCGCAAACGGCTAGGCAGGGAGAAGAGAGATCTCCTCCAGGGATTTGATCTTCATGTCTTTGACCAGGTGGTCCAGCTACTCCCAGGGCTTCTGGGCCCTGCCGTTGCAACCGGAGGCATTTGGTGTTCTGTCTGAGAAGAAGCGGCCACTTTATGTTTTTGTTAGAGAAATGTCTATTCAGATCATATGCCATTTAAAAAATCATATTATTTGAACATACTCTAGATTTGAAAATATTTTAAGCTATTATCTCTGTAGGCTAGTGTCCCAGTCTTTCAGAAAAGAGCTAAGAGACCCAGCAAGACCAAGAGAGGTTCTGTGGATAGTGCTGATACGACGACTAGAACTGAAATCTCCAGCTGCTCAGTGCTCTTTCTACCATTTCCTAAAGCAAGGGCTGCTATTTGTTTCATCAGTAATTTCTACATTTGCCTAGTTTATACTTTATTGGTTTTAGACTGTGAACAACAGGTGAGTATTATACCATTTACTTACTTAAAGAATATTTTATTTAAAAATATTTTATTCTCATAAGTTACATCTCTAAGTTACAAACAAAACAGTAAATATGGGAAAAGAAATTTTAAAATTGTAAGTTCATATTCCCAGCAAGAACTGCTATTAATAATTTAGGATGGGGGCCAGCAGGTGGTGTGGTGGTTAAGGCACTGGACTCTCACATGTCTGACCAGTTCAAATCCCAGATCTGGCAGCTTGCTTGCTCACTTTCTCTCTCTCTCTCTCTCTCTCTCTCTCCCCGTCCTATCTTTCTCTGATGAGTGTACATGCCCCATAGCAAATTTTTAAATAATAACAATAATAACAACAAATAAAATAAATTAAGAATTATTTAATCATTTAAAAAATAATTTAGGATGGTAACTTCTTGACTATTTTTATGTGTACATTTTCATAGATGTATCATGTATATATATATTTTTTTTTAATTTCAATGGCATCATACCAACTATAGTGTTCTGAACCTTGATTTTTTTACTTAAAAATAAGTCACAAACATTTTTTTGTGTGAATGAATACAGAGCCTGATCGTTATTGTTGGTTGCCTCACAGGACTCCCTGACATGACATCTCATTATTTAGCTGATCCAAACCACTGAATTTCACTTCCTTCTTAACCTCAGACCCCTGGTTGTATGGCATAGATAGAAATGGTAGTAGCAGGTGAGAGTTGGGGAATAATATCTGGCTTTCTGAGAAACTCTCTTTTTCTTCCTATTTCTCCATCACACCTCTCCCCATTCTCTCCCCACCTCCACATAATATTCAAACCGAGGTTGTCTGGTCACTGACCCTTCGAGAACTGGCTGTGTTCCCTTGGGCTGTCACCTACAAAGCTGTCCTCTCACCCACACTGAAAGCCTCAGCCCACAGAACGTCCTGTGCCACCCGGACCCCCTTCATTCCTGTAGTCCAAGAGCCTGCTACTTTCCTCTTCACTGGCTGCCCTCCTTCATTTCTTAAATATGCCAGATACACTCACCTTACCACCTTTGCACTTGCTGTTCTCAGTGTCTGAAAACACCCACTCTTACCTCCTCGGGCCTTGCTCAAACATCAGTGTCTCAGCGAGGCTTTCTCAGGGCACCCATGTAAAACCCTAACACTTTGCTCTCTCTTGCCCCAAGATTCCGTATCCTCTTT